TAGATGTGTTTTCTTGACAAGCCTTACATGGCTAACCACACGGTGGATCAAGATTTCTATGCCAATATCGCCGATCTAATTTCTCGATCACTTGGTAGTCACGGTCTGGAGCAACCAAGTTTATTTTGACTTCATGAGGATAATTAAGTATTATGGTATTCCCGATGTAAATAATGATATTCACATAACATGATCAAGGGAAGCGGGCGAGGTGTTGTTTGTATGACACTTGCATGGTGGCTATATGCCTAAATGGAATGAGATCCAGTAGTGGACTGATTTCTCAAAATTCAAAGCTAAAGACAGAACATGGGTTTCCATCATTTGTATTAAGGTTATTACTTCAAGGAATAAGAACGATGTGTCTCTTGATTGGGAGCTTTTGATTTGTCCCATCATGGATGGTATTCTTATTTATGTTGGTTGGATCATTTTGCAACACGTTCTGTAGTTTATGTTATAATGTACATGGGTCTTTATTATCCTTCTTTGATTACTTATATTTGCCTCACTTATAAGGTGGAAAAATATGAGAGATCTAGCATGAGGAGTCGCAAAGTCCCTATATATCCACTTAAAAAAGAAGGGTGTGGGGCATATGAATAAGAAGAGAAAAATTGATGTGCATGATTTAGTGTTTGACACATTTATTTTGGGCACCTATTCACGTAGTTCAACCTCTATCCCCTCCTCCAGCTGAATTGCTGCCGACTCTAGTCCACTTATGAGAAAAATGCAGGTCAGAGATACATGGATTCACTTGGTGTCTTTCTATAGGGCTACGACATATCACCTTGGTTGGAAGTGCTACTTGTACCCTTTTGACACTAATGCAGGATTGACAGATTCTCAAGAACATGATTGAAACAATGGAGAGGAGCTAGAAAAAGATGAAGGAACAAGAAATGAAAAATAGCAAGTTTTTGAACAAGATGCTGAGTACACTCCAAAAATTCTGTGTCCCAAGTTATGAGGTTTATGATGATTTTCTTTAAGATCCATATAGCTCTTCCCATGACTAATGATCTTTGCAGTGTGTCCCTCAATATCTCGTTTTGATTGTGGCACAATGAGGAAACAATTACATTTTTTAGTTAGGGGGTGCCTCCCTTGTCCGAGTAATTTTACAATGTATTTTGTTTCATTTGATCGTGCCTTTATTGGAATTATATTATTTTTATTTATTGATGATTTGTGCTTGTCAGTCTTGTTTTATTTTGATTTTTGGATGATGTTCCCTCATTGGGATTTTTAATATATTATGTTGGGTTGGTTTGTTTTATTTTGTTTCTTTTAGTTGGAAGCTTCTTTTTTTTGTTTTGATAATATGTCCAGTTATGGATAAATTGATAATTTTTATGGCAAAAATTACCGACTGTTTGTAAATGTTTTATTGGGTGTGGATATGATGTAGTCTGAGTAGCCAAGCCCGAATAGATGGATGAGTTTTTACGATGATAGATTGGTAGGCCACATTCTTAAGAGAAAAGTCATCTTCCTTTAAGAGGTTGTGGCTTGGTTGATACTAAGAACATAGACTTGCATGTGGAAGGTGTTGATCACACCCCTCCATTTTTCAAATTTAAGCATGCTGTAAATGTTTTTTTGACAAATCTTATATCTTTTATTGAGTGTTTTGATTTGCTAGCAATAAAAATGTTTGATGACACTTGTATTTCAAAGGAAATAAGATTTCGAGCTATCTTAATTGATTTCCATACCATGTGTGATGAATGGTTGTGTAATACACTATGATTCACCTTCATCGCCTAGAACTTGCCCAATTTATGTTAAAATGCTGGTCTTGATTAAGTTTTGTCACGGAAATAATTAAAGTCCACCTGGCCTAAAAAATCCCATCTTTGCACTAAATATATCCTCAGTTGTCCCCTTTGAGCCTAATTCTTTTTAATGATTACCATATTAGAAGCCTTCTCCTTTTTGAAAAAAAAACTGTCATTTGAAACTTCCCCTCCGTACACTTGAGAATTGTGAAAGCTGATGCTCAAAGCTTAAGTTGGGGGTGTTATGGAAAATTCATAGATTGGACGCTTACCACATAAGGCCTGGATAAAAAAATTAAAATGGAGGAAAAAGTTTATTAAGAACTTTTTTGAAAAAGAAAACGAATAAAGAGACATGTGTCCGACAAAGGTTGAAAATTATTGCATGTGGCACCTCTTTAGTAAACAATAAGAAATATATGGAAGAATATATTGTGAAATGTTTCGTAAGTTTAAAAATGATGATGAGTGGAAAAGTTGATGAATGCTGAGTTGTTGTATAGTGTTGAAGGAGGATGTAATCACTGGTATGTATATGACATCCTAAGCTTTTGCAATCATACATTACAAGCGTAACAAAGTAATTTGATATCCCTTATCGAATGATGTTGAGTAATTGTTTTTAAATATATGGACAAACCTATGGTGTGGTATTTGTGTCCATGAGATGTTTTCTTGTGAGTGTGTGAATTTGCATGTTTGCCCCGTGTCTTGTAACTACTTTGTGAGTGTGTTGGAACATTTATTTTCTTTTGACTGCACGCAAGTTAAGAAAGTGGTGATTTTGTAAATTTCTAATTAATCAAGTGAGCACGAAAATCAATTAACGAGTTGAGTCATTTCTTGATTTTTAGTTGGTGTCACTTAATGATTTTTGGTTCTTGGAAATGTGCAATGAGAATGTAGATAGTTATTTTCTGAAAATTTTTCATGTGGACTATTTGTTAGTATCAACTAAAGCCTTTTCCTTTGTGCTTGATTGGAAAAGGTGAAATTTATTTATGGTGTGTTCTGAAATGAGTTCCTTTTGTGTTTTATATTTTGTTTACTTGAGAAAGAGAAAAGTTTCTAATTGGGGTTTTTTGAGATAAGTGGTGGATTTTCGACTCAAACATCGTAGTTAATTATGGCTTTCTTTAGTTTATAATTGCTTCTTTTAGTGTGATTCCCCCCCCATATTTGTAGGAAAAATGAAATGGAAAGTTAGTTGAAAAGATAGTTGAAGCAATCAAGTGAAATTGAAGCAAAAAGAGGTCAATTGAAAGGAAGTGGAACAGGAAGAAGTTTGCTCATTGCAACTGTGTGAAGCAGAAGTTGTGATTGTGTTGCTCAAGAAATTTAGATCGTGCGATCACGTGGTTAGAGTTCATGACCGTGTGACCCAGTTACACTACTCATCGCAACCGTGAAAGTTAGTTGTCGCGACCTTGAAGGATAAATTACGTGGCACCTAGGCAGATTGAGAATTTCACAAAGTTCATCAGAAAACCCCTTTTTACAATCACTAATTGTTATTGTCCATCTATTCATCTTGTATCTATCTTTTACGCAACAATCCTAGTGAGTTAATTCCATATGCTAAACATAGATTAGAGAAAAACTTGTAGACTTCAATTTGGCTTTAGACTTGAAATTTGCCTCACAAAACAAATTTGGCAAATATGGCACTAGAGGAGCACGTAAAGGCAATGGTATCTGAAACAACAAATACATGAAATGTTTTTCTCCTTGATAAAATTTCCATCCCTTTTTAGGGCTATGAGTATCGCTTTAAAAACCTCCGGGCAGTGTGAAACCAGTCGTGAAGGTTACTTTCATTAATAGGGGTGCCACAACTAAATGCTTTTGAGCTGTCTTCATAATATTTTCACCAAATTTTTTCATCTCGCCTTGTCTGTCTTCATGATCATTGCCGTCCAGCTACTCATGTGGTGGTACAACTAACATTATCCCGTTTGTTGCAGAGAATAAGTGCGACATAACTATATTTATAACCTCAAGCATGACCATTCTCTTTTCGACTATTATATATCTAAATTTTTGATCTTGGTAATTCCTTTTCGTTCTATAGAAGAAACATTATATAGGAAAACAATCACACTCTTACTGGTAAACTCTCTATCGAGTCATTTTTAATGTATTATTTTAGAACAAAAGAAATATACAAGTGTTCATTTGGTTTGAAGGATTAATTGAAAAGACAAGTATATCTTTTTCGTGGACGGCATGACAAAATAGTCTGTGAGAAAAAAAATTAAAAAATGTGAACTATGTTATCAAAGAGAATTATTTGTGATGAATATACTCCTAGTACACTGAATATATAAATGAAATAGGTTAGACAGTTGAATCCTACCTAGAACCCCCACCCCCACCCCCTTCTTGATCAACTCTATTTATAGTTCAATGTAGAACAAGACCCGATAATCAAGTGAAGGTATATGAAATAGGAATTGAAAAGGGTTGGATTGGGGTTGGGGTAGGCATGTTCAAACTTTTTCTGTTGTAATCCTTGAGAAAGCAACATATAATCTTGTTTTATCTGGACATTCAATATGATTTTTTTCTATTATAATCTTTTCATCCTTTCGATAGTTTTTCCATGATTACTTTAATTCTTCATAAGTCATATAAAGGTTGTGACAATGACACTTCAATCACAAGCACTACTATAATAAATATATAGCGGTAATTAATGTCATTGCATCTAGTGTCATTAAAACTTTTAATGACATTTGTATAGAGTATTGGTTATAAATACTCATATTTATTAAGTTTTTCCACTCAGCACAATATAGCGGAAAATTTTTTATTGCCACTTAATCATTTATGTTTTGTAGTTATGTTGTATATAAGGACTCACGGCAATGTCTTCTTGTCGTCCATTGGTTGTTTATTTATTGTGAAGATCATTATGTTGAATTGTAGGAAAAAAGATCTATTGCATCCTGACTAAGCTATTTATAAGACTCTATGAATGAATAAATTAGTTGTGAACAAGAATATTTATGTTGAGAGTGCTTATCTTTATTTATTTGGTATTTATCAACAATTACATACCTAGTGAAATCCACCAAGTGGTATCTAGGGATCAGAGGATAGATTGCATGTAAACCTTATCACCATTTTGTAGAGGTAGATAGGTTGTATTCAAAAGATCCTTGATATAAAATTTGATCTTTTGTTGCTCGAGAGAGATCACACCGCTTCTGTTAATGAATTTTGAAAATAAATCTTAATAAAGAAGAACTGGAGAAGTAATTGACCAAGTTTATAAAGACAACCTAAGTTTAAAGTTTTACCTGAAATGATAAAATTCAAAATTCTAAAAAGTGATTAAAAGACAACCTAAGCATTGACATAGGATTAAAAAAATAATTAAAACTCAATATTGAACCTACGGGAAGAAGTACCATCATCACTTTCTCCATTGTTGTTTCTCCCCTTTCTCTTACAACCAACATTTTTTTCGTTTGTGTTGACACTTGAATCTTCATTTGCTTAATGATTCATATTTGGGTCTTTTTTAGTTAGATGATTCCAATTATATTCATCTTCAATTGGTGAAAGCCTAGAAGTACACTGTAGAATGGAAGGAAATTTCATGAGATAACAAAATAAGTTCTGCAATTTATTTCATTTTTTCAAGTATCTAATTATAAAAAGTAAAAAATAAAAGAAATTTGTTGAAAATACATGATGTTATGAAAGAAGATATACGTAAGCTTTATATGAATTACCTTATAAAGGTTACCGATAGAACGAAATTTGGTACTTCTCGGTAATCCTTGTGTAAAATGATAGTTTCCACCATTTTCATCTTTTGCCAAAAGTCTCGAGCCATAGTTGATAATGTTGTTTTTTATAATATGATGATAATTATCTGGGTTACCATCTTCACATGCAATTTGGTTGAGATTTGACTCACCTAAAAATTATATGTGAGAATCCATGATACATATGAAACCAATTGGAAGATCAAAAAGTGGGACTGAAGCTTTAATCTAATGATTGTATTTTAGGCTAGAAATATGTATTGTGCAAATTAGGGCATGAGCTTAAATTGATATGTGCTCATTGATTTAAATTTTTGATATTTCTCTACTTTTTATTTTTTAAAATATCAAATAATTATCTTAAGTTTAATTAGTAAGGTGTAAAATTCCTTAAATACCATCAATATTTCCTTCTTGTTGTTGGTCAGGATGTTCCTTCTCAAAAGAATCCTCTTGATCCCATCTTATGTTGCTTTCGTTGCGTTCGTTGAATTTCTCACTTTCTAACTCCTGCAAATACATATTGTTTCTTAAATAAACGATTGGAGAAAGAAATGTATATTGTGGAATATAATTAATTTACATGCTCAATAATAGTTTTTAAATAAACAAAACTATTGAACAATTACCTCGCAAGCTTGAAGGAGGGGATACAAACACGTATTGTCAATGTTATTGTTGATTAAGGTAGCATTATAATCATCCAATGGGTTATCTTCACCAAGACTTTCAAACTCAGCTGAAAATCATAAATAACCAAATGAAAGATAATTAATAGTATGATTCATTTATAAGTTCTTGAATAAACTAATAAATTATGTACCGTGAATAATTTGTTTTTCATTATCTGCATCCTTCATCTCCTTCAAGGAAAGTTGTGAATTGCTCCCCTTGTTCCCTTAAAACAATATTATTTAAATTTTTATTGTACTCAAAAAAGGTTATTAATGATACATTGAAATTAATTTTTTTTAAATACTAATAATGTAAAAAAAAATTTAAAAGTTATTTAATAATAAGATTAGAATTAAAAAAGACAATAATCATCTTTTAATTTAATTAAGTGAACAAGTAAAACAATAATCAACATAAGTCAAATGTAAGATGTTGAATGAATTAATTATGTACCATAAATTATTTCTTGCTTTCGCCTGTTCTGTAGTATTTTCTTGGAAGAGTCTCCTTTATCCTCTCCAGAATATTTTTCATTCCTCTTGGAATCTTCTTTCTTTTTCTTTTCTGCTTCGAGCATATTAGGCATATACTATTGAATGAAATACAAAAATCAAGATCAACTAATTATTTAATTTGACAAATCATGCTCGCAAAAAGCAAAATCTTCCCTCCATACTAACAAGTCTAAATTTTAAAACAAATGAAATTTTAGAAGTCACAAAAGAAACATAGTTAGGTTAATATACACATATGTCTTTGCAACTACATACACTTTATCTGAATCATCACCGTACATATGCATTGTAATTCATAAAGTAAAATTGAGTTGAATATAAAAAATAAAAATTGCATATAGATTTGACAGATGAAACAAAGCTTTTTGATTTGAGTGAAACATAGAGTAATGATTATGAGGGATGAAGAAAGCATCATCCTTCGGTGACTCTCATTCTCAGATTTAGATGGAAGCCTTATTTTCATATTTAAAATTATAATTGAGTGAATGATGGTAGAAAAATTGATGGAGGTCTTGTTGTATTTCAATGAGATTTTTCATACATATCAATACACAATAATAAAACAACATACCTGATGTTATCCCATAAGTAGGATTTGAAGGATGTACACAAGTTTTGCTACAACTTTTTGGGGTAGAAATATTTTTTTCTGATAGGTCATTGAAAAAAGAATTAAAACAGGATTACAAGAAGGAGAAATCAATTATTTTTCACTCTTGTTAATTATATGTTTTAAAATTTATTAGAAATGATGAATAAATTCAAAAACAAGACACTTGCTAAAACGAAGTGTAAATTTGTAAATGAACACAAGGGCACAAAATTGAGAAAGAAAAAAGGATTTAAATTGGCTCAAACTCACCATCACACAATTCGATTCCTTTATTAAAAGAAAACAAAAGACAATAATGAATTTAATAGAATGAATGGGAAAATCTATATCGTCTCAATCCCGTTTATATGTTCCTCTTTGTTGTTCATCTATCCCTTAACAAATTGAATAGGATTAATCAACAGTAATTAAAAAACAATTCTATCTTGTTAATTCTAGGTTTTAAAATTTATAACAAATGGTCTATAAAATCAAAACAAGACACTTGCTAAAATGAACTGTAAATTTATAAATGAACACAAGTGCAAAAGATTGACAACCAAAACAAGATCTAAATTAAATCAAACTCACTATCACGTAATTCGATTCCTTTATGCAAGAAAATAAAAAGCAAAAATAAATTGAATAGATTGAACGAGTGAATCAATTCCGTCTCAAATATGTTCCTCTTGATTAATCCCGTTTAAAAACTGAAATAGGTGAAGAAACAAACCTGTATTGATTGAAGTGTCTCCTCTTGACTGCTTGTATATATTTTTAAAAAAATAATATTAAAACTAGGAAGTGAACAAACATCTCGCCTTTTATATGTAAACTTTTATTGGTGAGCTGTTTTTTTAAAATTATGTTTGTTCAATTTTGGAAAATTTATTATTTGTCCATAAAAAGTAAGATAAATTTAAAGTGCAAAGGTGTGAACATACTAGAGTTCTAAATCAATTATTGTGATGAATTTAATATTGTGTTGATAGTGATATTTTGACATTAATTGAGAAATTTATTTAAAATCATTTTATTCTTTTACCTTTGTAATTTAGTATGCTTTGTAGTGTATATTATAAGGATAATACATGAAAACATTCATTTTTAGACTTTGACCAAATAAATTTAAATAGTTCCAATAGAGTTAGTCAAATATCATTTCTAATGCAAACCATCAGAATTACTACAAAAATGACACACGACATTGAATTGTGATTGAGGTAATAATATTTTTCTTACAAAAGATAATAGTTAGTTTGACTTAACATTAAAGTAATTTTAATTAATGTTTTAAAGTGGAAGACTCTACATCTCTTTTCGTTAAACTTGTTTAGATTATAAAAATCACAAATATGTGACACACATAAAATAATATTTGTGTAATTGTTCATATACAAATATATATTTATTAAAATAAAATAAAAAATAAATTTAAAATTATATGAAAAACATTTACTTTTTCCGGCAATGTGCTAGACGAAGAATTTATGGGTAGATAGAGTTCAAAAAAATAATCGTTATGTCGTATGTGCTTATATTCTCCTCTTAATTGTTGGAATATTCCTTTGTATAGTAATAAAATCAAGAATTTAGTATTGGAATTTAAAAATAGTTGAAGATAAATTTAATCCTTGTGTGGGAGACAAAAAAAGTATATTAATATTAGAACAAATATGTCTAGTTATAAAAATATAATTTTTCGATGAACGGAATTCAATTGACCCTCTCCTCGATAGATAGTTTTTTCATTGCTTTAGAAAACATACATTCATAGAGTTTGGATCATTCAACTTTATCTCTTTAAACTTTAAAAATGCAATTATATGAAGAGATAAAAGTTCTAACTATCACGATTCTAAAGTTGATTCTGATAACGCCTGCCTTATCCAACTAAGACAGGTTAACCTAAACAATCATTGACAAGGGTAAATACGATTGTATGAAATTAAAAAAGGACAGAACATAACAGAAGAATTTTGCAAATAATAACATAACAAAACCTTCCCCAAAAGCTATGTATACAAGTGACTAGGTAAGTATACAATTTTTTTAATTAAAGAACAACTCTGAATGTCTACAATCCTAAAATAGTAGAAATACATAGTCATGAGCAGGTGACACTTTCCATGATGACTAGAAGGTACCTCACAAACTCCTCAAATCAAGCCTCGGACACTAATGTAAGAGGAGAGTCGGAATGACCGGGACTCATACTCTTTGGTGCAGGTGCACTAGCAGATGATGGAGTAGGTCATATTTTTGTTTGTTAAAAGAAGACCGGTTCACATTACTCTTTTACTTCCCAGAGTGATTCTCTAATTTCTTAGCCCTATCATTCTTAAACTCTTATCTATCTCTCAACTTATCATCCTGAACTTGTTTCAGATCATTAACCATTCTATGTCCATATCCCTCATCAATATAGTTGCCTTTCCTTGCTATTTTAATAGGGAGACAACCGAGTAACGAATTAACTCATCCTACTCCTCATATCAGCAACCATCTCAGGAACATACTTAAAAATTTGTGTGAACTTCCGAACTGTACTCATGAACACTCAAAGAATCTATAAGGACCCTAAAAATGGAATAGAATGAACTAGAGCTTCACATCAGTTTATTGAGTTAATAACTTGTTAAAATTATTACAAATATATTTTAGTATTTGATTTAAAGAGTTTTTAGGTTAAACATCAAGGGACGATCAAGACGTTTTAAAACTAATTTGTTGTGTGCTAGTGTGTTCTACTATGTTGTGTTGTTTGGTGTATAAAATAAGTGGAATTTACCCTAGGGACTATATAAACATGTAAATGTACGGGTACGACTCGCCAAGGACCAACAGAAGGGTCCTTCAGGAGGACCCTAAGCTCAACCCCCAAAACTGCCAAAAAGGTGTGACTTAAGGCCATTACTTACGACTAGTATGTCCTTTGATGGGCATCCATTTCTTAGTAGTTCAAGACATATCCTAGGGAGCCTTATATTCCACGGCAAAGTCTAACATGAGTTTTACGAAACAACAAGACGGTCCATCACATCTCGTACAATCCTTAGGTGGTGGTCGTGAGTGAGAACCTATTTTTCTGCTACAAGTCGGCCAAGCCATGAGTGGTTTGGTAAATTCCACCCTTGGGTAAATAAATACTTGGACGGTTATTTTATGTATGGTAGAATGTTTTAAGTTAGATAAAATACTTAAACCTAGAATTAGACTTCACTCTTCAAATTCAAAAGCCCTCTCCAAAAAAGGTTCTCCCAGAACAGAATAGGAGCTTAAGGTCAAGTTTGAGATAGGGTTGATGATTTATACTGGTTTATTCTTTATTTCTTGTGTAATTCATCTCTAAGGTGTGATGATCCTTCATATAGGTCTAGCCTTTACCTAAGAGTCAAATTCAAATGGTTTTCAAGTTTTCCTAATGTTATGAAGACCCTAATTCCTCCTCAAACTCTTAGGTTCATGAATTTAATGGTTTCAAACGAATTGTCATGGTTATATTATAGCTTAACTAATGTGTTAAGGTTAAAATCTCTGAATTCATGATTTCTCTAAATCCCTAATTTTGGTTCGAAAAGTGCGTTTGTTAAATATGATTGTTTATTGGTGGAATTGCACTTATATGACTTTATAGTATTAATTAATATTGTTATATATCTCTATATATGATGAATTTTTTTTATATATGTATGTTTTGGTGATATTAGTCTTGTGGGCATGATAATGGGAAAATTCTCTTGCTATGTTGATATTATTGGAAGTTATTTAATGGTGAATTGTGGCATTGGAGAATGGTGAGTTGATTGAATTGCTTATTATAGTATGATTGTTTTTGCATGATTTTATACACTTATAGTACAGGTGTACTTCTTATTCTTATTGTTATTGTGGAATTGAACCCATTATGAGGTTAATTGAAGTGAGATTTATGTAATTGTGTAGAACGTGGCATAATATACAGATGTCATATGATCTTAAGGTGATCTTCTATATTGTATTGTGAATGAAAGCATGTTTCGTCTAAATGTTTACATGTGATGATAATATACAATGAATATTCTTTATATGTTGATATGGTGTCTTGATTAGGTACATCTAGTTGTCCCTACTTGATACATTAAATAAATGATGAATGTGATCTCTGGACTTGTTAGACTTAGGCATCTTTTTTTTAGCGAAAGAATGAAAGTATGAAATGAATCAGCTAGACCTAGCATGGTGACCTTTCTCTAAATGAGATATCCTTATGGACCTTAATTGGTAGACTCTAGAGGTGCCCTTCTTTGTCATGGTATTATGGGTTGGTAAGACTAATGATCGAGCCCTCTTTAATACACTTATCTGATAAAATTACTTTTTGGGAACTAACGGAAAGCATCGACTAAATATGCTTAACATAGTATCTCTACTTAAGTATGAGAATAGAGTATGAAGAACTCTTTTTATATACCCTAAACCATGTGCCTACATGGGATGTGTCTT